AAAAAAAAAAAAAAAAAAAAAAGTATATTATATTTTCTTAAATACTTAGAACACTCACGGTACACGTGAATAATACCCAAAAATTATTTTTTTAAAAAAATAAGAGCAGCCAGCAGCCATTAATTTAATTAATATGTTAAACATGATTAAGTTAACCAGACTAAGAGTGCCATTAGAATCTTAAATTTTGAATTGGAGAGGAGAAGCTGATGCTTTGGTTAGAAAACGACTTATCAGTTGGAATCATATTCCTTACGCAATTAATCGTCTTCTCATTCATAACTAAATGGGTTCCATATGCCTATTTCCGAGTGTTCTTCACCAATCAATCCATCATTTTTTTAACGATTCGATTTTCCAAAATAAACATAGCTTAGCGGTAATTGATATATATATATATATATATATATATATATATATATATATATATATTTTTAGAGGTTGAAAGTTTAGATTTTTTATATTGGGTACCACTAATAGTTATTTTTTTTCGATACTACAATATAATAATAATATTATTATTATTATTATTATTATTATGGGTATCAAGAGAAGAGCATATTAAATATTGGGGTTAGTGCATGAATTTAGAATAATTGTGGGCATAATGAAATTTTCCTTTGTTATGAGTTAACATGTCTTATCAATTAATGCTATTTTTTTTAGTTAAATAATTATAAGCTTGTCCTACTCCAATAATTGTTTAATTTTTAAGATAGTGTATGATAGTCCTGTTTGTAGTTTTGTGTTTAATAGATTCGTTAAGTTTATCAAATGCATTAATTTAGGGATTATGAGACGCATTGATTACTATATAAACAATTATGTGGTAACATATCAAATGGATAAACTCGAGCAGTTTTAAATTGTGGTTGTTCTTTAAAAATGTTTCACGAATCAAATGTCGATTAGACATATATTGTAAGTTTAAAGACCCATTAGACACTTTCAAAAGTTCGAAGCCTAAGAAAGATACACAACAATGACAGTTTACCGTTCATGAATCTATTAGACGCAATCATGAAAGATACGAGACCAAAAACTCGAATATTTAATGGACTTCGGGAGCAAATTATAATGAAAAACACATGTTTGGCTCTCCCATCATCATCAAGGAGTCAAAATTTGGAGTAATTAATTGCAACACAATTTGAGATATTGAAAGTTCCTTGTGATTAAAGTCACTCCCAAGGAAAATGAATTTAGAAAAGAAAAAAAAAACAAGAAAAGAAATTACAAAAAAGAGTTTGTTTAATTCAAAAAAGAAGAGAAAGATAATGAAGCAACCATTGATCCATCCATATGCAAATCTTACACAATTCAACACTCTACCATCTACACGTATATAATATATATATATATATATATGCAAATGTCAAATGAATTTCAAAGAGCTTTCCTATTACGAAGAACAATCCATTTTAATACTCCAATGATTATTTGGGTTTTGTGCCTAATTTTTGCCATTAAATATGGGATTGAGATCAAATAACATAATATAAATAGAGGGATAAGCTTTAAATTTTGCATTATTTTAGTCTTTTTGTTTTGATTTATTTGGGCAATAGAGTGAGAATTAAGATATTATTCAGCAAAATAAGATGCTTAAAATATTATTCTAAAGTACTTTTTGAAATTAAAGAAGAGAAATGGTGTAAATTAAATTACTTTAAGGAAAATTCTTGGTGATTTTGACTCACATATATCAAATCATGTCATTTGTGATTGAAGAAAAGAGCTACAGCCTCTGGTGTTCTTCATTGGGTGCCATGTTCTTCCTCCTGCTTTTCCGAAAACAATATCTATAACAAAGACAATAACAATTCCCTCAATCATTTCAAGAAGATTCATTTCGTATTCTATTTTTCTTTTTCTACATTTCATTTTTCATCGAAATCTAATCAAAATGGCACGAATTGATCTTATTGAGACAATAATTCCATATAGTTTATCACAAGACAATAATTCTACAAACGCTGTTTATCGCATGTGCAAGATGCTTTTGTTCTATCACTTTGGCCCACTGATCAAAATTTTCAACAATAAGATATATCCCCGCCCCACTCATTTAAGTATATTTCAGCCGATCAGAACATATATATCCGACTAAAGGGCTAAAGTTCGAATCTTCGGCCTCTAAAAGTGTGTGTATATGGAACTTGTTAATCATCAAAGGCATATGACAGATAAATTAGCAATTTAGAGTCTTCAAATCCTTCAAAATAGTTGAGGATGATGATATATCTATTTCAGTTCAGATGCTATTTCTTTTTCTACATCTAGTTAATTATTCCTTGGATGGGGCTGAAAGGTTTCGCACCAATCCATTTAGCTGTATTTTTGCAAAAGTAATATGGCCACTTAGGCCCAAACTTCTTAAGTTTTACAACCCATTTGAAAAAAATTCAAATACCATGAAACAAGAGGCATAGTCACGGGCCAACAGAAGAAGAAGCACAGAATATAGTTCTGCCAATCAAAAAAAGAACCTTGCGTACCTTCTTAGTTAAGCATCAGACGAATTCTCTTGTAATCGTCCAATCCGATGCGTCTCAAATCGCAAACCTGGACGTGTATGGAACTTGAACTTCGAAACCACGAAGGGAATTGGGACTCCACCTACAAGCTTAGGCTCAATTAATTGTCAGTAAATTGGGTTATATACATATACAATGCAGCAACTTTAAAAAGAATCAGCAGACATTGGTGCTTGACAACTTGTGCAAAAGGATAAGAAATTATAGGAAAAAGCATGAAAAAAGACCCATAATCTTTGCACTAAAACCAGATCTTCAAAGTAAATAAGTTCGCTTTTAGTAAAACAATGTTCGGTACAAATATAAAGCCGATGACAAGCTTAAAGATAGGTTCAAGAGTGATTGTGTTTTATAGCTCAATTACAAGCCATAGAAAAAAAAAGGCAAAACTATCTATCAAAGTTTTAACCAAGTCAGGATCTATCTATAGGTGNGGGGGGGTTTGGGAAACAAACACTTGAGAAGCACCATAGAGCTGATTTCAGAATGCATTGAGTTCAGTACTTTGGAGGCGGCTGCTGTGTGGGTAGCAAGCCAAATCGCTTCTTAAGAAGAACTCTCTGCCTCGAGTATTTGTCATCAGGGGAGAAACGAGCTGCAGACAGAAAATGTACAACAGGTTATCAGGAATTCGAAACTGCAAAAACCATGACCGCATCGAAGGGATGGTATAGAAGGCAATATCTGAATTAATTGAATCAATATAGAGAACAAATGATGACATCTCTAAGGAGAAAGGTGAACAACAATTATCCTCTTCTACATGTCAACCAATGATAAATGTTGCCTGCATATATATCGACAGCCCAAATCCGTTCTCAAGAGTGTATAATTGCAATCTTCACGGTAGGCTCAGCCACAGTTAAAATAACAACTGAAATAGACCACGTATATCGTTTCAACCAATTCCCATATTACAAGAACGACAGCACAGATATTCCAGCATGGTCTTTCTCCCAATACAGATTATTGATATTTCTAATTCTGCAAATAAGAGAAACGAGATGGCCCAAAACTAGGAAGATAATGCAAAGAATTTTACCTGGATGAGCAGATTGTGCGACCAAACCTAGAGGTGATTCTTTCTGTACAAGAAAAAGGAAAATGCAAACTAGATACGTTAGCAGAAATTAGATATCAGCATAAGAAAAAGTACAAACAGTGCGGGGAATTAGCAATGTTTTATCAAGCCAGTTGAAATGTGTGTGCAGGGATTAATTCATTTGTATTTTGTTGGCGCAATGGTTTGCATTTTAAAATGTACAATTCTACCAAAAATGAAAATAAAAAGTATACCGACTCTAAAAACTCAGTACAAATCCGTTACATACAACCTGGTGCTGATAAAATACAGAAATATTGCAACCTGAACAATAAGTATGTTGTCTCTGCCTCAAAACAGGAAGAGCACAATGGTACTGTGTTCTAGTTGTCAATTGATGTCATGGAGGAAGACTAAAATGCCCTAGGAGGGAGAGAAAAGAGAGTAACACAAGAATAGGTCTGGCTCCATACCATCGAAAGAAATTGGACGTGGGAAATCACATGTCAGTGGAGTGTGTAAAAGTAACTTTGCAGATTTTTCCGATGAAAGTCCTGTTGTATATCTTACAGCACTATGACTTACATATCTTTTGGTTACAATATTAGAGTTTTACCATTCTAAATAATCGTCTAATCAAAGTGGAATTGCATCAGACATTTTTTCTTGTTACTTAATAACAGGACCACTTAGGCAATTATAGTGTATTCAGGAAAATAAGTTGATATAATTAGAATCAGGGTAAATTATGCAGGCCCCTGCAATATTTCAAAAGACTCTAATGACATATGAATTTTAAAGGGCCTCCAATTCCATCTCCAACCCCAGCTTCCACAATATTTCCATCATTTATATTGATGAAAAGAACTTTTGGAGAAATGAGACATTCATAAAATTTTATCTAAAGTTTCAGGAAACAATTTGGGATAGCGTCACTTGAGGCTAAAGATGTTCAAACGATCATCAACAGCTTCACACTATACAGGAAACAATGCCTGCTATCTCACTTCTCTCTTTGGAAAGTATTAGAAGTGCTCAATCCTCAAAAAGCGAAGGCCCAGCCAAAAGACCTGAGTTCTTTTGGAATTTTGAGACTCCGCAAGATCTTGAAAAACTTGATAAATGAGAAAGGCATTGATCTCCAGATTTAATAAGCTAACCAAATAACACCTTCCAGGAGAAACAATCACTAACTTGGATGCCAAGAAAACTGATCCCAGTTATCTACACCTTGCACATTGATCTTGAGTGGGTAGCCCATACCAGACTGTAAGCTAAGCAAGGCAAGGAATAGATTAGATGGTTGCTCTCTTCCCTCTGTCAGTCAGATATATGGGCTGTAAGCTAAGCAAGGCAAGGAATAGATTAGATGGTTGCTCTCTTCCCTCTGTCAGTCAGATATATGGGAAGAGAGACCTCTAAAGTCTCTCGGCTTTTCCAAGGATTTTTTCTTTTTATCCCCCTTTTGTAGGATGAAAGAAAAAAAAAATTAGTTCTAAGAGATCATAGTCCTTATATCTCCTAAAGCGCTTTCCAATGGAGCATATGATTGCCCCACCCAATTTACCACCAAGAATTGATGGGTCAAGCAAGCCCTAAATGAGTAAAGCCGAAGACCCCAAGAGAGTTCCCACATCAAGAGTTATCCTCTGCAGATGAGTAACTAGCTTGTCATAAGAGTTTTGCCTGAGACGAGTAGCTAGTTTGTCAAAGAAAGGCTATAAACTCCTATTTGGGTCCCAATCATTGAAAAATCCTTGAACTTAAAGGTTTCAACTTCCATTGGCACCTTGTCACCAACCCCCGCCCCCCCCAAAAAAAAAATATATATATGGTATTAGCTAGTGGGAAGGATTACATAATAGTAGCAATGAAGCTCTAGGACCTTATTTCATCCATCCCTTTTTCTTGCCGGCTGGGCCCTTACCCTATCCAGACACCATATTTGCTTGACATATTGGACTGTCTTAACAAACTCTCTTCAAGGAGAGCCCAATAATCCATTTGGCAAGCCATTGAAGAACTTCTCAGCCTCAAAACAGATCTATCCATGTCTACCAGCTTCGATATAAGCAGAAACAAAGTCCCAATAAGAATATAGCTAAAATCTCTACCAGCCCGAACAATAGAGAAAGAATGGCGTCTAATCTCTAAACTCTAAAGCCTCTCCTCCTCCATGGTCAATGGAAAGGACCAAGGTAACTCTAATCTGCCATCATGAAATGGTGAAGAAAAGAAAGGAGGATTTGAAATTCATGAGACAAAGCTCAAAGCCTTACCGCGAACTTTTTGGAAAATTGGATATTCTAAGTAAGGGTGCATTATAAATTTAGGCAATCATTTAATGGGTACAACAACAAAAATGCAACTGCACAAATGACTCGCACTTAATGATGATAGCCTACTTCAATATCAAGTGAGATCTAGCTCTAATCTTTTAAGGATGACCTGCACAAATAGAATTAATCCTATCTCCAAAACTTACAGTCAGTGACTAAATAAACTTTCATTATCTTCAAAATCAGAGAGTACATACAACACAGCTTATCTGAGACGCGGCAGACACAGTTCATGCATTTAAGATTTTTTTTCTTTTTCTTTTCAAAGGACTCAACGCCGCTAATCAATTGATGTGATATCGATGAACTTTTAAACAAAGAGCAAGAAAAAAACGAAGAAAGACAAACCTTTGTGGTGTAGACTTTGTCACCATTGTCGTTTATGTAATACATAAGATACATCGTTGCTAAACACTCAACCTGAAAAAAAAGTTAGGAGAAAAATCAATTCTTCCACAAACTTAACGCAAAATCCCTAAACACAGAAGATTTGAATAACATCCATGGATAACTGAAAGAAAAATCTACAATCCTGAATTCATATGAACGATAAACATATCCAACGAGCAGTGATAATTACCTAATATTCGAGGGTTTTGGAAATCAATACCAGAAGAAAAACCTTACCGCTTGAACAAAGGACTGGAAAATGGCGGGATACAGGAAATCACGAAGCTAGGGTTTAAAAACCTGTTTAAATCAACTGGAAAGGCTATTTTCGTCTTTTCATTTCTTTTTCCTTCTTTTTCTTAATTTTTCGGTTTTATTATAATTTAGAACAAACCTTTTGTTTTTTAGTTTGTAATAAAAAACAAAAACAAAAATATTTAAAACAAAAAGTGTTTAAAAATATTTATAAGTATTTAAAAAATAATTTTGCTTTCATTTTTTCAAAATAAATACTAAAATTTTTAGCTTGCTGTTTTTTGAATTCCTTTCAATATATTTTTTTTTCTATAAAAATTTTAATTTTTAGTTAAATTCTAAAATAATTTTTTAAATTTTTTAAATATTAACTTACAAAAATAAACTTACCAATGTTTATAAATTTAATTTTTAAAAACTACATAATTATAAGAAAAATAGATAACAAAATAAATAATCCCATAAATAAAAAAATTATAAATTTAATTTAAATTTTAAATTTCGATGTATAAATTTTTTTTTTTTTTTCACTCTATTATGTCTTTAGTAAAAATAAATAAATATTTTTGTAATTACTTAAATATTAAAATTAAACGTAAAAAAGAAATTTGAATAGTTTCCAAAAATAAAAAATTGGAGCTTATCCTTATATTTATCCGTATTCGTATTTTTGGGATATCCAAGAAGGGCAAATGAGTAAATTCGGCTCTCACAGTACAGTTGACCTTCTGGAGCAACCATTGTTCGAAGCCGCGTCTGTGTGCACCTTCGTGGTTGATGTCTTCTTCTCACCTTAATTCCAATAAATTCAATTTTGTTTGGAAATCCATTCCCGCAATTCCATTTCTTTGAATCCTCAAGCTTTCTGTGAATCAATCGCCATGTCGTTTGAGGAGGACGAAGAGACCTTCGAGCACACTCTCCTTGTTGTTCGTGAGGTTTCCGTCTACAAAATCCCTCCTCGAACCACATCCGGCGGCTGCAAATGCGGCGAGTGGCTACAATCCGACAAGATCTGGTCCGGCCGCCTTCGTGTTGCGTCCTGTAAGGACCGATGTGAGATCCGGTTGGAAGATCCGAACTCCGGTGAGCTTTTTGCTGCTTGTTTTGTTAATCCGGGTCAGAGGGAGAACTCCGTTGAGGCCGTTCTTGACTCCTCGCGATACTTCGTTTTGAAGATCGAGGACGGCCAGGGTAAGCACGCTTTTGTAGGTTTAGGTTTCGCTGAACGAAATGAAGCTTTTGATTTTAATGTGGCACTGTCCGACCATGAGAAGTATGTCAGGAGGGATCATGAGAAGGACCCGACTGGTGGCGGCAATGTCAATGAAGAGAGCCACATTGATATCCATCCTGCTGTGAATCACAGATTGAAGGTATTCATTCCCCTGGTTTTATTTTCACCGATCAATGAAGATGATTGTCTGCTGGGTTCTTGATTATGAACTGATCTGATTAATGAAATCATCTGATCCAACCATTTGGAAAACAAATCGTTCACATTGAATGTTAGGAATCACGAACCTCTACAATGGTATGATATTGTCCACTTTGAGCATTAGAAGACCCCATACAAGTGGAGATGTATTCCTTACTTATAAACCCATGATCAACCATTCGAGGTGGGAATCCTCTTCCAACAATTCTCCCCTCGAACAAAGTACACTATAGAGCCTCTCCTGAGGCCTATGGAGTCTCCCCTTTATTGAAGCTGACTTCTTCTCTGGAGCCCTCAAACAAAGTACATCCTTTGTTCCATACTTGAGTCGTTTTTTACTACACTTTTGAGGCTCACAACTTCTTTGTTCGATATTTGAGGATTCTATTGACATGACTAAGTTAAGGGCATGGCTCTGTTACCATGTTAGGAATCACGAACCTCCACAATTGTATGATATTGTCCACTTTGAGCATTAGTTTTCATGGCTTTGCTTTTGTTTTCCCCAAAACGCCTTATACCAATGGAGATGTATTCCTTATTTATAAACTCATGATCAACCCCTTAATTAGCCGATGTGGGACTCCTCTCTCTACAATCCTCAACATTGAATAGCATAGAATTACTCGTTTGAATATCCTCCAATCAAGCAAACTAATAGTTTGCAAGTAATTACTATGATTTAGTAGCTGTGAAATCATAACGTTTTATATTGGCATTGTGATTGTGCTTCTTTACAATGGGCTGGATGATAGGAAGGTGAAACAATTCGGATCAATGTGAAGCATAAACCATCTAGTGGAACTGGTATGCTATCAGCTGCTGGCTTGTCAGGGTCTGGTACTGGAAAGCCAAAAACTCTGAGTCTTGCTCCACCACCAACTGGAGCTAGGAAAATCAGTTCCCCTCTTCCACCCCCTCCAAATGATCCAGCTGCGCGGAAGTTATCTGCCAGTGCATGTCGGGATGTCGGTCGTGAAGGCAAAAGAGACAATGTAAGCAATGCGAGCGATCCTTTATCAGATCTTTCCCAACTTGAGGTATAGTGTCTACTGCTAGTTGCTCATTTCCTGACAGAGAAACATGTTTGATGAGGATAATGTTATTCTTAAGTAATATGAATTGACCCTTTAACTTACATATTATGGTTCCTCTGTCCTTTATGCACAACCCATTTAAATCTAGATTAGTTTTATGAAACACATTACTAAGTTTGATTCGACTCAAGTATTGGCTTCTCTCCTTTGTGATTGGAATTGACTGTTATCTTAGATTCTTATCGTGATATTTCACATTGGTTGGAGAGGGGAACGAAGCATTTCTTATAAAGGTACATCTCCTTAATAGGCGCATTTTAAAAACCTTGAAGGAAAGGCCAAATGGAAAAGTCCAAAGAGGACAATATTTGCTATTGATGGGCTTGGATTGTTACAAATGGTATTAGAGCCCGGCATAGGGAAGTGTGCCAGCGAGGACGTTGGGTCCCCAAGGGGGTGGATTGTGAAATCCCACGTCGGTTGGAGAGGGAACAGAGCATTCCTTATAAGGGTGCGAAAACCTCTCCCTAATAGACGCATTTTAAAAACCTTGAGAGGAAGCCCAAATGGGAAAGTCCAAAGAGGATAATATCTACTAGTGGTGGGCTTGAGCTGTTACAAATGGTAATAGAGCCAAACATTGAGCGGTGTGCCAGCGAGGATGTTAGGCTCCCAAGGGAGGTGGATTGTGAGATCCCACATTGGTTGGGAAGGAGAACAAAGCATTTCTTACAAGGGTATGAAAACTTCTTAAAAAAAAAACGCGTTTTAAAACCTCGAGGGAAAGCTTGGAAGGGAATGCTCAAAGAGGAAGTGCCTAGTGTGACGGAATTTATTGAGTTTTTCAAATGCTTGAGCTATAGCCTTATGATTCCTTATTAGAGCCGTGTGCCAGCGAGTATGTTGGAGCCCGAAGGGGGGTGGATTGTGAGATCCCACTTTGGTTGGAGAGGGGAACGAAGCATTTCTTGTAAGGGTGTGAAACCCTCTCCCTCAAAGACGCGTTTTAAAACTTTGAGGGGAAGCCTGAAAGGGAAAATCCAATGAGGAAGCACCTAGTCTGACGGAGTTTATTGAGTTTTTCAAATGCTTGAGCTATAGCCATATGATTTCTTATTTTTCGAAGATAATCTGATATTGATACACATTCTTTAGGTTCACTTAGAACATACATGAGTGCATGTATCCTTAGGAACTCATGTCAATGAACAAATCTAGAACAATTTTAACTCGTGATTCGTTGCATTTGCAGAGAAATCTTCCTTCGGCGCCGAGCTCGACAACAGCAGCAGCATCAGGATGGGCAGCATTCTGATCAAAGTAAGCTGGTGTTTGTTATTTAAAACAAAAAGTCTTAGTTTTATGTAATCTTCATTTTTTATTCCTCTTGAGGGTGAAATGAGAGGGGAGGAGGAATGAGGTGGAAGGGAAGCTATAAGTGATAATACCATATTGGAAAATAATCTTGGAATATATATGTATACTTCTCCAGTTATTTTCCCTATCTATCTTGAGTTGTCTCTTTAGCCCTTTTTGCTTATGTTCTTCATTGGCTTCATTTCATTTTTCCATTTTTCTTTTCAACTCATAAATGGATGTCCGCGTCATGTATATAATAAGGTCATGTATATAATACGGTGATAGGGATATATATGGATTGAGTTGGGTTAGAAATTTTTTTTTGACCAATTCGAAATTTTGGATTTGCTAGGTTGGTGATTGAGTTCACGAAATTATTTTTAAAAAAATTACTTTTCTACTATATATATGTTGCATTAATAATTTAAATTTCATAAAGTTTAAATATAAAATATTTACGAGTCATAACACATCACTAACATCGGTTACAAACGTCAAATATTCTTAATTCTTTTTTACAAGTAGGGTAGGTTTGAGTTGGGGTGTGACCCTATTCTCGACCAAGAAAATATCTACTTGCAAATCGAACTAAATTTTTCGATCTTCCAAAAATTCAACTCAACTCCTAACCTAACCCAATATTTATGGTTCAGGATTGGATAGTTTAGATTAATTGAGATATTGAGTCATTAGAATACCCTTAGGTAGGCCTCATTGAGCCAATAAGTTATTGAAATTACCTTGGTAAAGAAATACGAGCCTATTGTCATCTTCTAAAATGTCATTCCAAGTACACCTTTAACATGCAAGCATAAGTTTTCAAAGTGTGTTCTTTCTCTTCCCTCATGGGTTGTCTTCAAAAGTTTTAGATCTCATTTGGATGCAGAAAAAATTAGTCGAACTATCTATATTAGCCAGTTTGGTTGTGCTAAAATCGACATATATGTCGTAATGCACCTCGAATGTTATCAACAGGCACTCGTAGTCGGCTGAATTGTAACCTAATAAATATACCAGACTGGTATAATTACTTAAAAAAAAAAATTGATAACAGGAATGGAAGTAAAAGAATGTCTGGATCTTGATGGAATGGTCAGGTTTCTAGTCTTTCATGAACCGAAGGAACATTTAACTTGCAATAAACAATAAGTCTACATCTACAAATTGAAAATTTGGCTACCCATCATCCATGATCAAAGACTCTACAAATTGGATCATCCGCAATCTGCTTCCTGTTAGCTGTACACGTCTACACGATATCATTGCCCTGTAAGGCACAAGTTCGGTTAGTAAAAAAAAGAAGGAAAGAACGAAAGGAATAGTTTGACCTTTCATAAACGTTTCTAAATCATGCTATGAGTAGAAATCTGTAGAATATTGAACAAAAATTAGACCTAAAACAATATACCTGCCTCGATTTTCGTTCAAGATTCTAACGTATTTCTATTCTCAAGAGTGGTTTAGAAAAGTTTATGGAATCGACTCTTTTTTAAACAGAAACAATTCTTAACTGAGCCTACACAAAATTCCAACTGAGAAAGTCAGGAGTGGAAAAGGCCCGGAGTGATTGGTACCATGGAAGTATAAACTATCTGTGCTTAGATTACTGTTTATACTCTGCCTTCAGAACCCAGAGTGATCCACTGGGGCTTTTCTCTAATATTGCTATCTCTTTCAGCAGATTCTTAAACAAGGGCAAATCATTTGAGGGTATCCTCTGCTTAAAATGCTGTACAATACTGGCTGAATCAGCGGATCCGCCTCTTTGTTGAATAAACGTACATATCTGCCGAATCAATACTTCGGGTTGTACTCCAGAAAGGTTCTTCGATGATCGAGAAGAACCGACACCGGCACCTCGTACGTTGTTTGAACTACTTGAAGGAGCTGGTTGATGATGTTCAAGCCCGGCGCTTAATGCTCTTTCTTGGTTTCCTCTGATTTTAGCCAGAAGCTCAGCTGAAGATAAGGCCTTTCCGGAAGATGTTCCAGCTGCAAGGCCATTTAAATGGCTAGCTCCATTTCTTGATGCTTCATCTGGAGATTTGGATTTGTTGTTTACCAGAGAGTTAACGGTTGAACCAAACTTTCGACGCACAGACGATGGTGCACCAGCGGTTCCAGCTTTTCCAGTCCATGTTGGAACTGAGACACTCTCATTACTTCGCAGAATTCTCGACTGGCGCAATGCCTCGGCTGCTCTACGTGCAACTTGAGAAGCTTGCTCCTCTAGTCGTATCTTCTCCCCATCATCAGCGTTAACAATGATATCATGATTAACGGCACTCTGCATATCGAGAAGGATGTAAAGCAAACCACAAGAAAGAGGAGGAAAAACAAAGACAAAACAACTGTACAGAAAATTTCAGCTATCTCAACTGTGGTCATCAAGACTAAGGACCAGTTTACAAAGTCATTCCAAACAAACTCTAACAATACACGTGAAAATGCATATAAAAGATCAAAAAAAAAAGGAGAGACTTACATGAATACCATGCGCATCAAAGAGGCTCTTCAAGATATTTTCGTCTTCGTCTGCTCCACGACCCTGACCCATCTCTACAGAATCATCTCTTCCAGAAGTTTCAGTCTCTGATTTGCATGGTTTTTCATCAGCAGAATCTGTATACGATACAGAGCCACGGCCAATTTTTTGCTCATCCTTCTCATTTTTCTGAACGCCAACAACATTTACACTATCGGTCAACTCACTGAAAATATTTGACGTTTCTGTCGATCCATCCACCGCATCCTCGTTCAGTGTAAAGAGATCTTTCATGTCTCTAGCCTTAAAGAACCTTCTCTGCTGTGGGTTTTTTAAGATCTTATTAGTGAGAAAATGTTTATATATCTGTCGATGGTACACTTTCTCCTCTATAGTTCCACGAGTGATCAATCTATACACTGTCACATCTCGCTGTTGACCAATACGCCAAGCACGCTCCCTTGCCTGTAATCGGAAAAATCAATGACAAAATTAGACTCGAATCGCTTGAATATAATAATGTAAAGTTCTCACCCTGTAGCAGAGAATAGGAACAAAATCTTCCATAATATTGTAATAAGCAGAAGAATATAAAAGATGCTGACTTCTAAACTGCAAGAGGGGCAGTACAGTAGTTCAACATAGTTTTCCTGGTTTAAACAAAGTGATGAACCTCAAACAAACGTTACCGAACAGGTCTCGAACAACTACTTCCATAGATTAAAACAGAAAATCAGAAACATGACATATTACCTGCATGTCGGTTGATGGATTCCAATCAGGGTCGAAGATTATAACCCTATCTGCTCCAGTTAAGTTGGTTCCTAGACCACCAACCTTGGTTGTTAAAATAAAAACAAACACCTCACATGAATTGTTGAATTCATCAATCAAGGCCATTCTCTGTTTGACAGGAGTACCACCATCCATCCTCCTGTAAGTATAACCACCTCCAACCATAAATCTCTCTAAAATGTCAAGCATCTGTTGGGTCTGCGCGAAAAGAAGAACACGATGACCTTGTTCCTTCCAGACCTTCAGCACTTGCTCAACTACCTTCATTTTTCCACTACGTTCAGGATTCCCATAGTCGGGATTTTGGAAAGAGTGTTCTCTCTCGAGTAGATCTGGGTGGTTGCAAATTTTACGCATTACATCAATTCCAGAAAGAGAATTTCTATTCCCATCCAAAATACTTTCCACTTCAGAGCTTGCAAGGAATGCTCTATAGACAGAACGTTGCTCAGAAGTTAGACTGCAGAAGAGAACGTGTTCGGTTTTCTTTGGCAAATGTGCATTCACATCAGCTTTCATCCTTCTAAGAAGATAGGGCATAATTAAGTCACGAAGAACGACAGCGCACCTGCATAATGATAACATAAAAGGTAGGTAATGTTAAGCCACTGAAGGAGAAGGGAGAGAGCACACGAGATCAAAGAACTACCTCCATCCCCTTTTTCCATTAAAACGTCTTTTAAGTATCATCATGATAAACCCGCCCCGTATAACTACCAGCATCATAGCTCAATTAGTAAGCCCACAAGGAATTTGTAATCGTTAGTAACTCTCCTAAAGGCCGAAGATTCAAAACAAAGTACACTTACAAATTCTAAACATTTACCAGAAAAGAGGCAGAAACGAGGGGAAAACAATAAAAATAAGAACTCAAACGTTGACAAAAATTTCACAACATTTACCTATATGCAGTTGATACTTGCAATGGAGAGGCATTAGCATAGCCACCAACAGATATAGGAACTGCAAACTCTGCTTCAAATACAGGCAACACTCCCAACTTCCCAGGGAAAACAAAATCAAACAAGGACCACAACTCAGTCAATTTGTTCTGAATTGGAGAACCCGTCATGATTATGCGATGTACTGTCTGCAGCTGCTTGCAAACTAAAGTGACTTCAGCATTTGGATTTCGAATACGATGACCTTCATCCAGGACTGCATACCCCCATTCAATGTCAAGCAACTTCCCACCTAACAGTCGTAGTTGTTCATAAGTGGTAATGAGCATACCGGATTCTGACCTCAAAACACGGTTTATCAAGGAATCCCATTTTTTTGTGCCTTTGGACTGTGAGTTTTTCCCATAATCACTTTCCTCTGAATCTTCACTTTCATCACTTTCATAAGATTTCTCTCGCATCTTCCTGTATGTGGGATCATGAGCAGAATCATGAAGGATTTCCACCAAAAGGTCCGGGCACCATTTCCGTGCCTCCCTCTTCCACTGTCTAACTAGTGTAACAGGGCAGACGATGATGCTTGGTTTATAAATGTTACTGAAATGTAATGCACCTAAAAAGGCCAAGACCTGGACCGTTTTCCCAAGGCCCATCTCATCTCCAATAATTCCACCAGCCCTTTGGCAGTGCAATTCCCATAACCACTGGACCCCAACTTTTTGGTAATCAAAGAGCTGATCAAATATGCTCTGAGGAATTTTCAGCCCGCCTTCAAGCGTTACAGAAGAAGATTCGTGAACATCATCTTCTAAATCTCCTGAATTTTCTCTTTCAGAACCTGATGTATGTAAACCATCTGACATATTCTCTGCAACATGAATAACACAATCAGGTACAAATAAAAATGTTCTTCGAAACATATCCTAAGCTAAAGATGATGTAATAAAACTAACAATCAGTGACATACTCATTCAGCAAAACACTCCACGGTGAAGATCAATGCTATATTACAACAAATTTTCAACTAAGTAAGATAGATGCTGGTAACAGCCTGACTTCATGCATGTAACTATCAAAAAAAGTACAGAAGGAAGTAAATCTTCTCAACTAACTAACTCCAATAGATCTATGAAATTTTTCTAGTATTTTGCAAACATCTGAATATGAGGCTAAGAGGACTTGACAATAATAGCTAATTCATTTCCAGATGATTGCTATTATGCAACTGCCATAGAATGCTATTCATTGAAGCGTCATTGAGGAATATACTGTCCAATACTCATCTTTGACAACTAGGCAGAATGAGTTTGAGGACCAAATTATAAACGAAAAGAGGAAATAGTAACTAAAAGAATCCTGAAACATGAGAGTATTATTCCCATTCACAAGTCCACAATAAGCCAATTAAACATATCAAGTCTTCAAGGGCTTCAGTTGACGCCTTGTGGTACTCTAGTTGCAGAAGGACAACAAATTTAGCCTTCTTAGATCACAGAGAAGATGACAACTAGACCAGAGGCTAGAAAAGTATATTCAATACAATTAATTGACAACAAGGTTAAGAATTTAGACGTCAAATCATGTAAAAGATACAATTGCCAACCATAGAATCAAGGAAACCGCCAAATGAACTTCGAGAGAATAAGTGTAGAACAACCATGAGCTAAATAAGGGACATACCAGCAGCTTCCTCGTCTCTTTCCTCCATGGCAATTTGTTTTCTGTATTTTTTGTCTGGCAAAGGCCGTCTAGTCTTTTTGCATTTTATTTTTTTTGTAGCTTTGTCTTCTGCAGAGAGGGGAACCTTTGCAGGTTTTTTTAACCTGTAAAAAGGACGAGTTGGCGGATCAAGCTTCGGCAAATCTTCCGGATCAAGCAATTTAGTGGTCGGTCGAGCTTGTGCAGCCACTGACATTGACTGGACGGCTTTAGCAACACTGTCAGAAGCAAAGTCATCATTTTCCTCTTCTTCCCCCTTTACTTCAGGCCTTGATTGCCCGGCGTTCTGAAGACTTGATTGCCCAGGGTTCTGAAGACGGCGCTCAAAGCCCTTTAGCTTGTGAAATGGTGTTAAAATTCCCTTCCGCACCAATTCATCTCTTTCCTAAGACAAAGAATGAAAGTTACACCCTTGTCACATAACTTTTTTTTTTCCAATCTCAAATGTAAAAAGCTATTTCAACAGATACAGAAGACTTGTTAAGCATCTTACAGAGAATAGCATTTGAAAACAGTTTAACTCACTGTTTCAACAAAGCCCACAGTGGCTGCATCCAAAGCTGCATCAAAATCGTTATCTTCGTCAAATGACACAACTTTCAACCTCTTTTCTCCATTTTTTCCTGATTTCTTAACCTCTTTAGACTTTCTTTTAGGTTTTGATCTGTCCTTGACTATCTCCAATAATGTCTCGGCATGCTTGTCGTTCAAATGGGAAAGTTCTTTCTTCAACTGCTGTTGGGTTTTCTTCAAGCTTCTTAGCCTGTCAACAGCCAGTGCATGCTGAAGGCCATCTGCAGAAGCTGAAACACCGTCCTCTTCACGCCCATACTCCTGAGGGTCAGCACCAACATGAGAATGTTGCTCATTTCTTTCAAGTTTCTTCCCTGATTCCACTGTCGATGCAACAGCATCGATCTCGTATTCAACAGCCCTAAGCTTCTGATGGAGCAGCACATGACTGGCAGAAGGTAAATCAGTGGTATCTAACTTCTCACAGGCGTTCTCTTCCGCAATTCCTCCAACATCAGCACCATTCTCACTATTCTTTTTTGCCTTCAATACAAAAACAAATCATTCAATGATGTTAACTGCAATAAGTTCATAACTGATTTCCAGTTGAAACTCAGGAGCTGCATACTGAGTTCAATTTCATGTAAAACAGCTAGAACCATAAGTTAATTTCAGCACTGATGTACTAAATCGACAACTCACATTTTTCTCTAGGCAATCAAAAAGATAATCTAATTACCCAAAACCATTATGAACCTAAACAGTAAAATCGTGACACGCTACACACGAAAAATTAAGCGAATTTTGCTAAGAACTCCGGTCACTACCTCCTCTATCAAGTCCCGCTCTATATCCTCCGGATTAGCAGACGTCACACCCAAGCTGTTCAGAAAAATCCGATCCTCCTCTTCCTCCATCGCATCAAATACGCAAGTTCACACAACGCATTGCACTGTACAGCCAATACCAAAACCTACCAAACAAAACTAAAGCGCATCAAATCCACAACATTCACTCCCATAGTCGACAAAACTTCGCATCTAACATGTTCGTTCATACTTAAATGCTCAAACCGACCAATGAGACAAAGTTGAAACCTGAATTGGAAGCGCCGTGAAGCAACCAGCGGAGAACTAACTCCAATTCGATCAAACAAAAAAATTAAAGGCAAAATAGGATGTAGAAATCTCTGTAAATAGCGTATCAGAGAGATGAGCGAAGGAATCCGATTTCTTGACTATGAATCGGAAGATCGCGGGATTCCCTGAAACCTAAATTAAGGCCCGTCGCCGCCTCCGACTGGCCGCAGTTTTTCAAACATTTCTTCAGCTTTTATTTTTAATTTAATTTATTAATTTATTAATTTATTTAAACAAGCATTGACGGCTCGTCGCTCTGACCAGAAACAAACTTGGGGGCACGGCTTGTGTTTGTGGCTAACGTGAGCTCTTAGCCATCGTCTCCTAACGTGCGCGCCTCAATCATAAATTATATTAATATCATATTAAATATTATTTTTTTTTTTTTAAATACCCCTCAAACTTCAAAAAATAAAATAAAATCTTAAAAAATGCATAAGTTACAAATTTCGAATTAAGAGACAAAATGCATAATTTATTTAATTAATTTAGCTTTAAAAAATTAAATTACAAATTTAATTCTTTGCATTTATGTTTTTTTTTTAATATTTAATAAGTTTTTAAATTATAATTTTTTTATCTATAATGTGAAATAGGTTAATAAATTTTTAATTTTATATTTAGTGCATTTATATCTAAAAACCATTTCCAAATAGATCTAATAAATTTTTAAATATAAAATTGAATGTTTAGATTTTTTTTTTTTTATTTTAATGAGTAATTTTGTTTTAAATTAATTTTAAAATTGTGTATTTGCTTCAAACCAATTACAAATATATATATTTTTAAACGACATGGTATAACTTTTTTTTTTTTTTATAGATAATTTATGATATAAATTTAATATATTATGATAGCTTCAGTCATTGATGATTAAGAATTGGAATCAACGACCACTTTTAACAATCCGTCGTTCGTAATTAGTCCTCGATCTTGATCATTAACTACCCACAACCGATTATTATAAGGTTTGGAGGTGTGTGGTGGTCAGCAAGGATTGTTGGTTGTGATAGTCAATAGTGAATGGGGGTGGTGGCGGTTGTCGACGTTGGTCAATGGGCATTAGTTTGTCGACAACGACGAGCGGTGGTCAATGGATTATTAATGTAACATATATTATGGATAAATATAATTTCTTAAAATTATTTCAAAAAATAACCAACCCAACTACGACTCGACTCAATCTAATGATTAGACTCAACCTGGCTCGATGATTGGTTAACCATGGGCGTCACCGATTTAATTAATCCAAAATTTCAAGTCTATCTCTAAGGGTATAATTGGAAAAAAAGCTCAAAATAATTAAATATATTGTTTTTAAGTGGAATATTAAAATTATGATTTTTAACGAAAATAGGAACTAAAAAAAAGTCTAGAGAGAGAAAATAGAGGAGAGAGAAATACATCGGCGGCCTGACCTCTTTGTTCTTCTTATACTTCTGCCTTCTCTCTCTCTCTCATCGCCACGATTTTTCTGGTCTCATCCATTTTTTCTCTTTCCCTTTCTTCATGTTCAAGATAAATATTTTCTTCCCCGAAATTTTTGTCCTAAATCTCTGATCCGAATCCCGTATTTTTCGATTACTGTTATCTTCCTTTCATCCATCAAAAAAAAATTTTTTTTTTCCTCTTGATTTCATCTTTCGACGAATTTTTCGTTTAATATTCAGTTTTTTCAGTCAATGTAGCTTGATTTCTTTGAAACTAGGGTTTTAATTCGCCGTCTGGCGTTGAATATTCATCAGGGCTTCGATTCCTAAAATATGTAGTTGAAGAGGATCAACTTCTTTGACTAGTTTTGATTTGTAACATCTTCTTTGACTAACAGCTTGATTCATCGTCTACTGTAATCTGGGGGGACTTTCTTGTTCTTCAATTTGATTGTTGTGAGGCTCTTCAGAAACTCAATCTGTCTAATCTGCTGAAGTCGTCGGCAGTGGAATTACCGGCCGGAAAAAGGATCGTGCTCTTATAGACGACGATTTGAAGAAAATCGGAGTTGGTGTTGTTGCATTTAGCTTTTGGGTTGACTTTGATTAAAGAATTGGATCATGGACCATGTGATTGCGGGGAAGTTCAAGCTGGGGAGGAAGATTGGGAGTGGGTCTTTTGGAGAGCTCTATTTAGGTCTGTCTCGCAATGGTTTCCCTTGTTTAATGTTCTTTTACAACTTTTCTCTATACAGTAAGCGTGGTTTTGATTCATTTGTTTTCTTTATTGTTGCAGCTGTTAATGTGCAAACCGGAGAGGAGGTTGCTGTCAAACTAGTAAGTGATTGGGCTTCAATGGAAGAATATTTGTGATTTTTGTTCTGATTTCAACTAACTACTTACTATTTCATCATTAGTAATTGCTGCATCGAATGTCTGTTTACTCGTATCAAGATAGATTCAAATGATTTCTTCTTGTTGATAATCTCGTTGTTGGCTATGAGGTCCTTTGATCGTAAAATACTTTCCAGTCTACTTCAATCAACTTGTGAAAGAAACTTCGCCAATATACTCTTCTGAGTATTTTCTCAATTCATTCATTGCTAAAAGGCAACTGATTTTCAAAAAAAGAAAAAAGAAGAAGAAGAGATCATTACTATTATACCAATTTAGGGAAGAAATTTGCAACTAGTGCTATTGATATGATCTGATCTCAACGACATTTGTAAGCTCGATAAGACCATTGCATATAAGGTGTATGGCTCATTTGGATGAGAGGACTAGAACAGGAAGGAACTGATAAGCTGGTGGTTAACAATATTCCCTTTTACCTTGATATGAGAGGAAGGAATGCTGTCTTAGCGTTTCTTGATAATATCTCTCCTGGTTTCTCTTACAAGACAGACAGTAATTTTTTGTTAATAGATCAAAACATCATTTTACTTAATTGATTCCCTTTACCTCTTTTTCTTTCTCTCTTAATGAGCAACCTCATTTCCTTTGATTTTAGGAACTTGTTTTTTATGTTTTATCGCTTGTTTCTGACAGTCTGATTTTTGAACGAGTAATAAGTGGCCCCTGGATGTTAAGATATTTTAATCTTTGGTTGTTCATATCGTATGCTTTCAAGCTAAAGTAATCTCTTTTTACCAAAGCTTTCAGGTCCTTGGAGTGATCTTGTTTAAATTTTGAGGAATAAATACAATTAGTTAAAGAAGACAGTTTTTTTATGAATTGTTCTAAGTTTAGTTGCTATTTTTCAGGAACCTGTGAAAACCAAACATCCCCAGCTTCATTATGAGTCCAAATTGTATATGCTTCTTCAAGGAGGAAGTAAGTCTCTCTCTCATTTTCTCTCTCTGATCATTAGATGTTGTGTAAATGGATGTCTAATTGTCTAATTAATGGGCAGGTAAAAATGTAAAATTTTTAATTTGCATCATTTGCCGTTGGACGATAAATGCTAGGGGACAGTTAGATGTTCTTGGTACTAGTAACCTAATTTATGTTTGGTCTTTATCTAGAAGAAATAGTTCGCATTAAATTCATTGATATTTAGGTAAGTTTCTGTGATGTCCCACATTGGTTGGCGAGGAGAACAAAACACCCTTTATAAGGGTGTGGAGACCTTCCCCCAGCAGATGCATTTTAAAGCCTCAAGCTCGAAAGGAAAACCCCAAAGAGAATAATATTTGCTAGCGGTGGATCTGGGTTGTTACAGTTTCTCCAACAACTTGCTGATGAATGCAATTCTTACCAAATTAAACTTGTTGGTAGACATTTCATTGTGATGTTTCTTTGTAGCCAAATGAATGATACAAATACATGTTGCAAAATTTTGAATGAGGTCTTCATTTTCATAATAAGCTCTTTTATGATGTCATTAAATTCTATATTTTGTTGATGAAGCGGGAATCCCCCACCTGAAGTGGTTCGGAGTTGAGAGTGATTACAACATTATGGTGATTGATCTTCTCGGGCCAAGTTTGGAAGATTTATTTAACTTCTGTAATAGAAAGTTCACATTGAAAACTGTCTTGATGCTTGCAGATCAATTAGTAAGTGTGCAGGGCTCTTTTTGTGTTGTCTACATGAGCATTGGTTGGATGGTCCAACTAATTAACCCCGACCTATTTATTGTAACTTTCAGATTAACAGGGTTGAGTACATGCATTCAAGAGGTTTTCTCCATCGCGATATAAAGCCCGACAACTTCTTAATGGGACTTGGGCGGAAAGCCAATCAGGTACTATTTTTATGTGGTTCTGTATGGTCCTCTATGCCCCCTATCAAAGGGAGATTTTGTGAGGTTCTAGTCTTTTAGTGATTCAAATTATTGACAGAAATTCAGGATAATGGGTAAGAATGATTGAAGTAGCAAAGTCTTGTATTGTTCCTTTGTATTTGATGCAGTTTCGATTAAGGATAATGATATTTTTGTTATAGGCAATTGCAATAACAGTTCACGGTTTTTTCTAATCAGTGTTTTGTGTAATAATGCCGTTATAGGTATACATCATTGACTATGGCCTCGGAAAGAAGTACAGGGATCTGCAAACTCATAAGCACATACCATACAGGTTGATACTGATCTTAACCTCAGAGCTGAGAAAATTATGGTTCTGTTTGCGACATGACATGACAGCATATGTATCTATTTTGTTTTAAATTATCCAATTCTTTGAAGATTCAGTTAAGTACAAGAATCTTTACAGTTTTTCCACCTCACTTTTTCAGGGAAAACAAGAACCTCACTGGCACAGCTCGTTATGCTAGTGTTAACACTCACCTAGGAGTTGGTGAGTAGTTTTGGAAGGGGATGAAACTCAAAACAACGTAAACGTCTCAGCATTTTTTTTTTAATATTATGCTTTTTTATGGGCAGAGCAAAGCCGAAGGGATGACCTAGAGTCTCTTGGTTATGTGCTTATGTATTTCCTACGAGGAAGGTTAGTCTACTGAACTCCTGAAGAACACTCATGCATGTTTTAGGGCAGCCAAATGGAATACATGAATACTCTAGTCTTGTTTTTTGTTTGTGTATAATGACTGTAAAATTTCTGCTTCAGCCTTCCCTGGCAGGGTCTCAAAGCAGGCACCAAGAAGCAAAAGTATGACAGGATCAGTGAAAAAAAGATTTCCACCTCTACTGAGGTACCCCAAAGAATCTAAAACAAAAACATGTACTGCATATGTGCTCGTATATGTAATTATCATTTAGAATGATCAAATTTTCAATAACGATCGTTTGATTTCAAGTATTAAGTTATTATTTTAATCATAATTACTATTATTTTATGTTAATATTATATATAATAATTAGTTAGTATTTCTTACTAATATCAATAACAGTGTTTGTTCGCCCTCCCCTTGAGAATTAAAAAAAACAACTAGTGAAACTTTCGTTAGATCGGGCAGAGTATAAAAATGGTGATGCTATAACACTGATACTATTATACAATTTATTTTATTCTTTGTTGATATATTTTTATTTCCAAACACGACCTCACCATGATCATAGAACGTATGTCTCTTTTATGAGCAATTGGTCTCTATCTATGCTACTATTGCTGCTATTAATTGTAATTATGTTTTATAGGCGCTTTGCAAATCACATCCACCAGAGTTTGTATCTTATTTCCAATACTGTCGATCACTGAGATTTGAAGACAAACCAGATTACTCATATTTAAAACGACTTTTTCGTGACTTGTTCATACGACTAGGTAATTCATTGTTCTTTATCTGAACCTTCTAACTTTATATTCACAATATTTATTTCTTTAGCCCTCTATATTAAACCTTCGTTTGAAGGTTTCCTTTCCCCTCCTTCAAGTGAAGCCATTTTCTGTAATTTTTTCCTTCATAGGCCTTGACCTCTGTTTTTGTATGACCTAGTTTGGTGTACATTCATTCATCTTAATGTAATCCGGTTTCTTATTGGAACGAATTTGTTGCTTGAACTTTCATGGCTTGCTTTTATCTCCCTTTTTCGTTGTCCATTACACCATTCAGCGATGAGTATGGATTTCTTAAGGATCTGAATATTTCCTTTCAGGCTATCAATTTGATTATGTGTTTGACTGGACTATTCTAAAGTACCCTCAAATTGGAGGTGGCTCCAGAGGACGAGTAAATACTTGCAACTTTTTCCTTTTGTTTATATATATATATGTGTGTGTGTGATATGGATTTGTTATTTTGGTTTCTGATCCCATTTTGTAGCACTCAAGTGGGAAAGCCGCAGTTACTCCAGGGCCATCTGCAGAAAGGCCAGAGAGAACCTCAGGTCTGCTTCCTTGAAGTTTTTCTCGTTTAGAATTATTGTTATTTTTCTTAAAAAAAGACTAAGAAACATAAATTTTCAGAAATAAAGTTCCAGTTTAGCGTTAAACATATTGCTTATTACTTGTTGGTATTATTTGTTGAAGTTGGGAAAGAGATCCGGGAAAGATTGTCAGGTGCAGTCGAAGCATTTTCCAGGAGGAATATTTCCGGTTCCAGTCCACATGTTGATCATTCTAAACAAAAGGCTTATGAGGATGTGGTAAATTACTTTCATTGATTTTGAACCATCATTTAATAACGTATTACTTTATCCAAATCTTACTATTGAATCTTCTAGATTGGATTGATTTACATCTTTTATTGCATCTTTGCAAGTTCTATTACAGTTCCAATTTTTTGTTCTTGGTTGTTATATTCTTAAAATTATTTCTTGTTACAAGTTTGAATGGTTACCTGACGTAATGTTCACGGATGGAGAAGAGACTATTTATGGGAGGAGAAGTGTGAGATTCCACATCGGTTGGAGAGGAGAACGAAACATAAGGTGTGAAAACCTCTCCCTAGCAGACGCATTTTAAAACCGTGAGGGGAAGCCCAGAAGGGAAAGTCCAAAGAGCACAATATCTACTAGCGGTGGGATTGGCTGTTACAAGAAGAGAGGTTGTTTGGCCCTTTTGGTGCATATTCTTTCTATTTCGGGAGGGACACCGAAAATAGAAGAGCTGACGCATGCCTCGGGTGTGCTTTTATGTAGCGAAAAGGAGAAGAAAGTTGGAAAAAAATGGGTAGTTTTGTTCAGCTTGCTCTAGAGAAGGGACGAAAGCAAAAAACACGAATTGGAAGAAACAAAACCAAAGGTTGCTTGAGAAAAAAACAGAAAACGTGAAGTGAAAACCATAAAACTGGTACATGAAATGGAACTAGTAAAAATGGCGTGCTGCAGGGCTAAGAACCAAGCCTTAGGAGTTGCCTGGTTATAATCGTTGCAGTGTCTGCTTAGTTTAGTTTTGGTTGGATATGATTATTGTCCTTAGATTTGTTTGACAACGAAATTCAGATCGAATTTTCAGAGCTGTTTCTTGAACTAGCTCGTTCGAATAAATTTTCTGTAACGTATCATTGTTCTTCATTTGTTCTGAAGAACCATATTCTACTCAAATGTTGCATTTGGGGAAAGATTTAGCTATAATCTTTATAGTTGCACTTGGGAATTTTGGAGGATACTTCGTTCATTATTGTTGTAGTGATTGCACTTAGTGAGATCATGCTTGTAGAATGTGGTGTTATATTAACTTTCTAATTGAAGTTATTGCAATCCTTGTTTTCAGCGTCCTGATTCTGACCGTGTACGTGGTTCTTCTTCCCGATACGGAAGCTCCTCGAGAAGAGCTGTAATTGCAAACAGCAAGCCTAGTTCTTCTGCCGATCACAGTGAGGCTCGTCGACTAGTTGCGAGCACTGGACGCCCCTCTACCACTCAAAGACTTCATTCTTCTTACGATACAAAGCCAACCTCATTTGTTCGAACATCAACTGCAAAAGGCAACCGTGACGATCCCCTCCGAAGCTTCGAACTTCTATCAATCAGGAAGTAACAAGTAACAAGAAGGTTTTCATTAGTAGGGTATTTGGCATACGCATTTGCGATTATATGCATCATTTAGTTCTGTTCTCTCCTGTACATGGACATCGCCCAATCCCAACCCGAACCCGATCATGAACCAACAATGCAGCAGCAGGTCAGTTGACACATCTTGTATGACCCACCCCCCTCCCCCCTCCCCCAGAAGAAAAACCAGGATTATTTTTTTCCAGCCCTTTGCCCTCTGAAGCGTTTACAGCGGGCGGGCGATCGTATTATGTTCTTAGACGCCACTCAAGATGCAGACTTTGACGTTGAACATTTCTACTTGTGACCCAAGTAACTGTAATAAAAACTGTATTTCCTTTGAAGTAGCTTATGAATTCATGAACAAAAAATCTTTGTTTTGCACCCACTCACTACTTGGCTGCTGGAGAAACACTGACTTTCAATGCCTTAAAAAGGAACCTTCTTCTGCTTCCTTTTTTGATTTTGTAGTGATGGAAACAGACAATTCCTGAGCCTTTTCAATGGAGGAGGAATGGTCTCTTGCTTTTCCAGGAAAGTTCTTATAATCTTTTATTTTATTTTATTTTATTTTATTTTTTAAATCGAGATTATAAACATGGCTTCTTATTAACAAATTGAGATTTTTTCCCTTCTTCGTAGGAATTGGATATTTTCGGTCTATACTTGAAAATTTAGTATATTTTTGTTCATTTGTACGATTTAGTTGGTAGCTTATATCTTATTTAAGGAGTTTTGATCTCACTTACGATAGAAGAAATTAAAATATGTGCACGTTATATATATGCTTTTGAATGACATGACTTTTGATATGTAAATACAGATATATATTTTGGTTTGTATTCTAATTTTAGAGTGTGAATAGAGAGGTAAAATTTGGAAGGGGATTTTGTGGCGAAAAAGGCATTGGAATGCAACCAACAACCAAATGAAGGAAATGAACGATCCCTTTTCTTCTTCTTTTCTCACCCACTGCTCTTCTTCCATTTTCCAACCCTTTCTGTCTTCTTCTTCTTCTTCTTCTTCTTCTTCCCCTTCTTCCTCCATCTTAATATTACCATTATTCTAAACACACCAAAGCCTTCCCTTCCCTTCCCTTCCCTTTTGCCTCCTCACTCTCTTCTTCTTTTCCTTTGCTTTTTACTTCTTCTTCTTCTTCTTCTCCAAATCCATCCTCTCCATACTCATATTAAGATGAAAGGCCTCCTCAAAGGCCTCAAATTCATGTCCCAAATGTTTGGTAATTCCTCTTCTCCTCTCAAACTCATTCATTCATCTAACAATTCTTCTTATTTTTGTTATGCTTTCTTTTTTTTTTTTGCAGAAAATGAGAAAGAACCTGAAATGCAGATTGGCCTTCCCACTGATGTCAAGCATGTTGCCCACATTGGCTTGGATGGCCCCTCTGTTAATTCTCCTAGCTGGGTATTTCTTACATTATTTCCCTTTCATCTCCCTTTCGTTTATGAAGATTGTTGGGTAAGAGACTCGATCTCAAATACGGCAAATACGGTGTTCTTACGATGATTGATAGGCCGATGAGTGCTTATGAATCTTTTGACAAATAGTTTTAGTTTATTTAAATGGAGGGTTTTTTTTAAAAAAAAAAGATTATTGAGTGAGGTACTGAATCTTAAATAGGGTGTTCTTATGAGGCGTTGAATGCAGATGAAGATTATTGGGTGAGGGACTAAATTATTTTAAATAGGGTGTTCTTACTAGGCATTGAATGCAGATGAAGATCATTAGGCGAGGGACTAAATCTTAAATAGGGTATTCTTATGAGGGGTTAAATGCATATGAATGTTTTGGGAAAGAGTTTAATTTCATTTAAATTTAGGGTTTTTTTTATATATAAAAAAAAATTATTGGGAAGGGATCTCAAATAGAGTGTTCTTATAAGGTGTTGAATGCAAATGAATGTTTTGGCAAAAAGTATAATTTGATTTTGATGGAGGGTCTTTTTGAAAAAAATTATTAGATAAAGGACTAAATCTCAAATAGGGTGTTCTTATGAAGTGTTGAATGCAGATGACCGAATTTAAAGCTCCGCCTCCTTCATCTGCCCCTAATGGAGATATCAAAGCCCCGAACGGAGATGCCTCTGTCCAATGGGCATCTCAAGGTATTGAACACTTTTCTCGTCTCCCTAATTTTAATTTCCGTTTCATTTTCATCGACATTTCCATGTAATTTTATATAGATCTATAAGACTAAACAGATATAATCTTGAAAGTTTATAGATTACCTAAATTAATCAAAATACCCCTAAACTTTTAAAATTTTCAATAACATCCTTAAACTTTTTGAAAATTTCAAAAATACCCTTATCTTTTGTTTGGGATGAAAACAGTTTATTAGTATTTTATTTCAAATATACCTTAGAATTTTAAAAAATTTATATAATTATTATAAAAAAATTAAAAATAAAAATTAACTAAAATTATTATTTTTTTAAAAAAATGAAATTTAAATCTTTTGAATTACACGTGTGGGAGAAGTTACTGAGTGGTATGGATTTCAAATAGAGTCAAAAAGGGATATGGCAGTTACGACCCGTGACTTGCCGGAGCTACCAAAATCGTCGAGACGGCAGTCGTCGACCGTCGGCGAGTCTACAGGGAAGGAGAAATCGGAGAAAGTAAGGTCAAAGAAATCTTCAAAGTCGAAGGAATCTACTACGTCCAATGGCGTCAGAGCGTCCCGCCGGAGCGCTGATCTGAACCAGGGCGGCGAGTCTCCGACGCAGGCCGCCCCTGGAATTCCGAAAAAAGCGCGGCGGAAGAGATCGAAAGAGGACGGATCGACGAGATCCAAATCCAAAGCCACGGCGACGGAGAGTTGTTCGTCTCAGTTCTCTGATAACGGGTCGGATGCCGGATCCATAGCCGGATCCATTTCCAGATCCAACGACGAGGACTTGTTAACGGGAGACGTTTTCACGTGAAAAAAAGGGGAAGAAGGAAAAGGGGAGAGGGGCAATTATGTAATTTAAGGTCGTAGGTAGGGTAACTCTTTAGTTTTACAGCATTTTTTTACTTTTCTTTTTGAGTTAAGTCTCGAGACATATGAACTGGGTGTCCGGAGCACTAACTTGCATACGTGTTCAAAATGTTCGATGACCCAAAAAACTCAATCAACCCCGTACAGTTTGGGTTGTGTTTAAATAAATGAAAACTTTATGAATTTGATTGGTTCATGTATTCCCGTAAAATTAACTTGGGATGAAGAGAACCAATATAAATTCATTGTTAATTTTAAAATATACATTTTTGTTTACGATACAATTATATATATGTGTTTTTATTTTATTTTATAATTATTTAGTTTTCACGAAATTAATTTTTCAAAATATATATTGAAATTGAGTGTTTAAAAATAATAAATATTTTATCGCGTTTAAATAAATAATATTTGATTTTAAAAAATATTTGAATTATTTTCCATTATTTACCTGAAAGCCCAATCCACCGACATTATTAAATGTTCCAATTACTTATTAATTAAATTATTGTGACATTATTTCCATTATAGGGTTCCATTGGTTATGTTAGTACATTATTCTCTAAATTGAGTAAACTAATATTTATTACATAAATAATAGTATGGAATATTATAAATTCTAATTACCGACATTCTCGACTATAAAAAGCTCAAATCTTCTCACACTAGACACATAATTCGAGTCTCGTCCATCTCCTTAGCTCTCGACTTCGCTTCTCTCTCCCTCATTCTTAATCATTGTCGTCTCCATCCGCCTCTCCCGTTGATTGTCGTAGTGGATGATCAACGATTCCTGTTGACGTTAAATTTTTTTATCATCGCTTCCACCTGCCTCTCTTGTCGTTTATCATGGTAGACAATCATTGATTTTTGTTGATGTTAAATTTTTCATCATCGTCTCTATTCGCTTCTCCTATCGTTTGTCGTAGTAGACGATCATCGAATCCTGGTGACGTTAAATTTTTCATCGTTGTCTCCATCTGCCTCTCCCACTGTTTGTCGTAGTAGATGATCATTGACTCTCGTTGACGTTAAATTTTTATCTAGTCGTCTGATTAGATACCTCTGAAGCGACAGACTGTACGTATCCTCCTCACTTTTTTATCGTTTTCTTATGTTAATCTTTTTTTTTTTTCGAAAACTTTGAAATATTATATTTTGTAATAGCTTGAATATATCATTTACAAGTATTTATAAATATAATGATATATATATATATATAAAAGATTCATGATTTATATAAAATTATAAGTTATTGGGTATTCATTTTAATTATTAAAAAAAAACAGGTACTAAAATTAATTATTAAAAAATTGAAATCAATTTGCTCATTTTCATATTGCTTGATAATATTGTAAATTTTTAATTAAAAATTATAATTTTATCCAACAAAAAGTTTTTCAAAACATTAAAAAGTTGGTTTTTATAATTTAAAATTAATGCTTTTCATATATTTATAATATAAATTAATCAATTTTTAAATAATATTATTCAAGATTATCCTATACTATTCATGGAATCTAGGAAGACATTAAAAAAAATATAAAAAATTAGAGATGTTCATATAACTCGAGAATTTGATCAATTGAATTAGATTGAATTTTTGAAAAACCAAAAAATCGGACTGATCCGCTGGTTGACGTTTGTTAGTCGGGTCAACCCTGACCAACTCGAAAATAGAGTTACAATACAATCCTACCCTATCTTACTTTTAAAATTATTATGAAGATTAAGAATATTTGACGTTTATAACAGATGTTAGTAATGCAGTTTTATGATATTTTAGTCCTAAATTGGTAAGTAAGATGTTTTAAATAATTAAAAACAAGGACCGACAATCCAACTCGTGTTTAGTTGGAAACTTTATTCAGATTGTTCGGGTCACTAACCCAATCAAACGCAAAATTTTGGGACGGTACAACAGTTTTTACCTATACACTCCTACAAAAATGAGCTCAAATTATTACTAAAAACAAAGCCAGACAATCCAACTCGGGTTTAGTTGAAAACTTTATTCAAATTGTTCGGATCACTAATTCAATCGGAACCCAACAAAAAGAATTTTACCATATACTCTCCTAGAAAAATGGGCTCAAATCGGATATGTTCATAATCCTTTCGGGATAAGAAATTTGAAGTTCTCTCTCTTTTTCTTGGTTATTTCTTGCTATAAATATCCCATCCGACGACACTCTCAGCAAGATCCAGAGTGGAGAGTTTCAGTCTCAGCCGCAGTAGAAGGAATCTCAAGGTCGGGAGATAGCGAAAATGGAGGATCGAGAAGTTCGATCTCACCCTCTGTTGAGAAGACGAAGAACAGAGCTCAGCCATGGCTTCTCTTCCTCGCAAATGGAAGCCATGGCCGCCTTCTGTGAAGCTCTCATTCCCCCGCTGCCTCTCGTCAAGGAAGATCCACTCGATCAATCGCTTCTTGCATTCTACGAAGCTTCTGCTTCTCAAGCCCCGATTCCTGATGAGGTCGTTTACTTACTCTACGATCCTTTTAAGTTCTTAATCTTCGTTTTCTCTCCCCGCTCGAAGTTTGGAGATTCTTATGCTGGAAACTCGCTTGTTTGTTTGTTTTTTCATATCGGATTTTTAGGTAGCTGCGCTATTGGTGGATAGGGCTAATCCGAAAGCTGTGTTTCTTGTGAAATTGGTTCTGATGCTTCTGTCTTTTAGAATTGGAACATTGTTGCTTTGTGGATATCTTTGCTTCGATTGGAGATGGCCTTTCGTTCTCAAATTCTCTGAGATTTCTCCGGAGAAGAGAGAACAGATTCTCAAGGATTGGTCTGTGGCTCACCACAGGTATACTGTGCTTCTGAGAATGGTTTTTATGATTATAAAAATGTTCTGCTGCTTCAAATTCTTCTCCAGGGTAAGCTTTCTTTGAACACTCTCATGTCTTTTTTTTCTATATCTTTGATTTAGTGTTCATATTCAACATTGCTTTGAAGATTCTGGTTAAGGATGATGATAAGTGGATACAAGTGTGAGATCCCATATCGGTAGCGGTTGGGAGGAGAAAGAAACATTCTTTATATGGGTGTGTAAATCTCTCCTTAATAGATACGTTTTAAAAACCTTTAAGAGAATTCAGGAAAGCTCAAAGAAGATAATATCTGTTAGCGGTGGGTTTGGGTTACAAATAGTATAGAGCTGAGAATGTGTCAGTGAAGAGACTGAGCCTCGAAGGGGGTGGACACTAAGAGGTGTGCAAACAAGGACATTGGACTCCAAAGGGGTGGATTGTGAGATACCACATCGATTAAGGAAGAGTACGAAACATTATTTATAAGGTTATGGAAACCTCTCTCTAGATAGCAAACGCATTTTATTAACCTTGAAAGGAAACCTAAAAAGAAAATGTCAATAAGACAATATTGTAGGCTTGGGCTTGGACCGTTATAAAAAGTTTTTTTTTGTTTTCTAAAAAAAATATATAATAAAGAAGTTGCTAGAAAACAAAAGGCAGAAAGTGTTAGTGATTGGGCCTTCATTTTGTTTGTTGTTTTTCAATCAATCCTTGCATTAGTTTTCATCTACATTGACATTTACAGCGTTCATCTCTTTAAATATTTAGAAGTTAAGGCTGACATCTTCTTGTTCTACTGGTTTAGACAACAAGAAAGATCTGTTGATATTGACTATTGAGTACTATCATACAGAGAATTCCTTTTTGTTCTGTTTCAGATCGACAGAGAGTCGAAAAACATAGCATGGGAAGCGATGGGGTATCATGTAGACACTCGAAAACGGTTGAATGATAGCCGAAAAGAGCGGCCACTTGAAAGGGGGTTGATAGAAACTGGCAAAGAAGATGACTCCACTCTTCTCCGGTCTCTTTCCATGAAAGGCCTTGCAGTGACTGAGGATCAAAAACACGGTAGCACCTATACGATCAAATGTGATGTTGTGATTGTTGGCTCGGGTTGCGGTGGCGGAGTTGCTGCTGCGGTTCTTGCAAAATCTGGTTTGAAGGTAGTCGTTCTCGAGAAAGGGAACTATTTTGTGCCTGAAGATTATTCTTCCCTGGAAGGTCCATCCATGAATGAACTATATGAAACTGGTGGACTTAAGTCAACACTTGATGGGAAGGTTATGCTGTTGGCTGGAACTACTGTAGGTGGAGGCTCTGCTATAAACTGGTCTGCATCAATTAGAACTCCTAAACCTGTTCTTGAAGAGTGGTCTACCATTCATAAGATTCCTTTGTTCGGGAGCTTCGATTACCAATCGGCAATGGACGCTGTGTGTGATAGAATTGGAGTGACAGAGGGGTGTCGACTTGAAAGTTTCCAAAATCAAGTTCTTCGAAAAGGGTGTGAAAATCTTGGTTTGAAGGTCGATTCGGTTCCGAGAAATTCCTCAAAAGATCATTATTGTGGCTCTTGTTGTTATGGTTGTAGGGTTGGTGACAAGAAAGGGACTGATTCTACTTGGCTGGTTGATGCTGTTGAATCTGGTGCAGTGATCCTCACAGGCTGCCGAGCTGACAAGCTCGTTTTGGAGAACACGAACAACACAAGTCGAAACAAGCGATGCTTAGGAGTGATAGCAACTCCGCTGAGCAAAAACGTCACAAAAAAGCTTCATATTGAAGCAAAAGCGACAATCTCGGCTTGTGGTTCTCTCCTAACACCCCCTCTACTGATTGCAAGCGGACTACGTAACAAAAACATAGGCAGCAATCTTCATTTGCACCCGGTTATTCTAGCTTGGGGATACTTCCCCGAACAACTATCCGATTTCACGGGTAAAATATATGAGGGAGGGCTCATTACTTCCCTTCACAACGTAGTCTCAAAAGATTCGAATAGCCATGCCATAATCCAAACCCCTGCACTTGGACCAGCCTCATTTGCTGCCATGTTTCCGTGGACGTCCGGGCGTGATATGAAAGATGCAGTGGTGAAATACGCTCGAACCGCTCACCTTTTTGCCTTGGTAAGAGACAGAGGTGCAGGAGAAATAAAGGTAAAGGCTAACGTAAAGTATCGACTCGACCAAACCGATAAAGAGAATCTAAGAATCGGTTTAAGACAGGCATTGAGAATCTTGATTGCAGCAGGAGCAACTGAGGTGGGGACCTATAGAAGCGACGGCCAGAGATTCCAATTTCACGGGACAAACAAGGAAGACTTGGAAGAGTTCTTCGACTCAGTCGAGGCAGCCGGGGGACCGTTCTCGAGGGAAA